CTATCAATCTTGGTACATAGGCTAGCGCGGTGAACCGCCCAAGAATGGACTTTGGCAGGAAAGGGAAAGGTTGGGTACTGCCCATCAGTGGACGTTGCGTTTTACTAGTTGTAAGATTTGCGCTACCTCGAAAGATGTTAAACCCAAGCTTCGATTTTGGCTCGCTTGATATGCTGGTAGCTCGCTGACCTGTCGCCTGTGACACGTTGCTCAGGCGCACTCTCCAGGCGGTAACGCAGTCAAGTGCCTTTCACAAGCACCCTCGCCTGGCAGCAGTGAGAGCCCTCCACAAGCACCCTCGCCCGGCAGCAGTGAGTGCCTTACACAAGCACCCTCACCCGGCAGCAGCAGGGAGTGCCTTACACAAACACTCTTGCTTGGCTGCAGTAAATGCCAAACAGACTTGCCCGGCGGCAGGAATGCCAAGTACACTTGCTCGGCGGGAAGAATGCCAAGCCCATGGCTTGGCCTCAGTGAGAGCCTTACACACGGACCCTTGCTCGACTGCAGTGAGTGTCTTACACAAGCACCTTCGCCTGGCAGCAATCCCGGTTTCTTTCCCCTGGCAGCTATTCAGTTCCAGCAAGTGTACTATGCTAGCCTGAGTCCTCAGCGTCTTCTTCTGGTCCTGCATCAAAAACAGCAGGCATCCTATGCTAGCCTAGTCATTAGCGTCGTCTTCCGGTCCTGTGTCAGAATTGGCAGGCCTCCTATGCTGGCCTGGGTCGTCTTCTTAATTTGGTCTTAACACTGCTCGAAGGACCAATTAAAAACAAAAAAGCAGGTTCTCAACGCCAATCCTGCAGCAGAGATCAACCAATTAGTAACCTTCTATTCCCAGATCTATTATCTAGCGATGTGAGTAGGTGTGCAACTCAAATCCCGTGTGTCATCTCTCAAAAGAAAGGTTAGACGACTAAACTTACGGGTCCCTAAGGAATGGTCCCGGTCTGACGTCAGTCATCAGTGAACTGTATCACGTGTACTGGATACTACGTTCGACGCTGACTGGTCTTGCAAAATAAAACATCAATTATTCTTCATAAAACCCCCTTGGAAATGCGACATTGAATCTTTCACTGATTTAGCTATCACTTTTCCCTATTGCTTTCCTTCTTGAGTTTAATACTGGAAACTGTTAGCTTGTCCCGAATTGCCAAAATACCAGCCTCCTACTGTACCATGACAGCTATACGCAAAATAAATAAATTATGTTTATGTTTATCTTAAGACCTATCCGTTGAGAGACACTATTACGCGATTCTTCCATAAGGGCTATATCGCCGGCAAATCGAAGGTGAGTGATGTATTCGCCATTGATGTTAATACCGCATCCTTTCCAGTCCAGTAGCTTGAAAACGTCTTCCAAAGCAGCGGTGAAGAGTTTCGGGGATATAACGTCACCCTGTCTTACACCTGTGCAGTTAGATAGGTTTCGTACTCTGACTCTATACTCGGATAGCCATCGTAGCCCTACTTTACAAACACTTCAGCACTTCGATATACCGACAGTCAACTTGGCACCGCTGAAGGGACTGCAGCACCGCCCAAATTTCGACGGAATCAAAGGCTTTCTGATAGTTCACATACGCAAGGCAAAGTGGCAGATTATACCCTTTTGTCTTCTGTACAATTTTCCGAAGGATATGTGTGGTCTATGGAACTAAAGCCTTTTCGGAAACCGGCATGTTCGTGCGCAAGCTCTCAAGGGTGAAAGTTGTGTCATTTGTAACCGCGTCGGCCAGCGCACATGCTTTCTCATGCGTTCTCCTCACATTATCAGTAGATAATATTATTTATTTAATCTATTTTCATAAAATAGTTTATTGATGTTAACAAAATAGTGCTACGTTCGTACAGTAGGTGGCGTCTTAGCAGATTTCTTACGAGATATTTTGTAGTGCGAAACTGCGGAGTGGAAAGGCAGAGGCGGATCGCATGCCGAAGGTCGTTTGCTAAGAGAAGCGCCTTAAGATCAATTACGAGGGTTGATTGAAAAGTACTCGGCCTAACACAGATCCATTCAATTCTAAAAATCAAATCTACCCACATTATTTAGTTCAGTTCAGACTAGTTCATTGTGTGAAGTTCGAAACGTGTGCGATAATTAGTTGTGATTTTATAAATTTATTAACAAAGTAATCGGACATAATTTCCGCGAATGGAGCAAATCGAGCAGCGTGCCGTCATTAAGTACCTCCATAAGAAGGGGCTATCATCAAAAGCCATCCATGATGACATGGTCAGTACATTAGGCGATTGTGCTCTGTCATATTCATCCGTCAAAAAATGGATAGCAGAATTTAAGCGTGGTAGAGAGAGTGTGAAAGATGAACCCCGCTCTGGAAGGCCTTCGACGTCAACTACTGACGAAAATATTAAAAAAGTACTTGATTTAATAATGGGAGACCGCAGATTAAAAATTAGAGAGATAGCCGAGATTATAGGCATCTCTTATGAACGAACTCAAAACATCATTGTCAACGAGTTGGGTTTCCACAAGGTGTCTGCGAGGTGGGTTCCGCGACTGCTTTCAGTTGAACAAAAAAGGACGCGATTGACTATTTCACGCGACTGTTTGGAGTTATTTGAAGACGATGCAGATGATTTTTTGAATCGTTTTGTTACTATGGACGAAACATGGGTTCATTACTGTACACCGGAAACAAAACAACAATCAAAACAGTGGAGAAGACCTGGTTCACCACCCCCTAAAAAGGCTAAGTCGATTTTGTCGGCAAATAAGGTGATGGCTTCAGTATTCTGGGACTCGAAAGGTGTGATTATGATTGATTATCTTGAAAGGGGTCAGAATATAAACTCTGATTACTACTGCACCTTACTACGTCGTTTACGAGAGGAAATAAAAGAAAAACGTCGAGGAATGCTCAGAAGAAAAGTCCTGTTTCATCAAGATAACGCCCGTGTCCACACGTCAGTACAGTCAATGGCTGAAATTCACAACTGTGGCTTTGAACTGTTACCGCATCCGCCGTATTCACCTGATCTGGCACCATCATACTTCTTTCTGTTCCCTAACCTAAAAAAGCACTTGGGAGGTCAAAGATTTTCGACAAACGACGAGGTCAAAGCAGCTGTAGACGCATATTTTGACTCTAAGGAAGAATCATTTTTTTTCAACGGTCTAAATGCTTGTAAGGGGAGGTGGCAAAAGTGTATTGAACTTGATGGTGATTATGTAGAAAAATAAAAATATAACAGATTTAGTATTTGTTTATTTTCTTGTTTAGGCCGAGTACTTTTCAATCCACCCTCGTATTATGTCTAAATACGAAAAATTCAACATTCGTTTATCTTCGCATTTATTTATCAGCGATTCGAAAATCAACAAATAATTAACAGCGGTTAGTATGAGGCTGGCTCACACAGATTGCGTCTTACCATTTAGCTTGCCAATCAATTAATATTAATAATTTTTCAGAATCCGATAAAGAGGAATTAAGTATAGTATTCTAAAAGCTTGCGAAAAATAACGGGCATGTTTTAATATCACCATTATATATTTGGTTATCGATAGGTGGCAATCTAGACACATCGCATGTGCGTACTTGTACTGCTGGCTTTACGTCACTCTGAGCTGGAGGTTGGAGCTGCCTGGCAGCTCACTTCACGCAACATAATAAATCTTCGAACGACGAAAGTGATTATTACTTTACTAAATAATTGGGATCAATTTGTAAATCAAGACTGTTAATTTTATCCAACACACTTGAAATCTGAACGCAATGAATCTATAGTTTCTGTTTTAAAACAAAAATGTAGCCTGAACGGACTCTAACATATCCCATCGGAACATTAAGCTAGCAATGGAACGTTTATATAGTTCGAAGAACCGATAACCAATAGAGAATAAAGATTCTCGAGTGGCAGCCTCGCACCAATAGGCGAAGTTTAGGGCGGCCCTCCGGAGATCTACATATGTACATCAGAGGACTTTTATGATGATGATGATTCTATTTGCTTACTTGACAGATGTTTTTTTTTATTATTAGAGTGACAAACATGCTAACTGTTCATCTAACGGTAAGTAGCTTTTTTATATGGGGAGATGCCTATATATACCCGCGGGAACCTGGTCGGGTTACAGGCCTGTCGCAATCGCACCAACTAAAATCCCATGGCCTTCGCCGCAAATTGGCAGGGCCATGGGAATTCTTTCACATATATCCGCGGCCACACTGCCAGCCGCCCCATGACGGCTTCTCCTCGATAAAGAACATATTTTGCCCTTTCTCTTTCTACAACATCCAACTACACCTGCATAACGGACCCTCCCGAGTTCTAGTTTTGGTCGCAGAGGGCAGGGAGAGCGACGCTTCTAAATACCGACTCTCTTCTACCCTCGTGACTCTACACCACCCCTACATCAGCGGTGCAGTCCGACAGAGCTGCGGAGGATAGGCCCTCCCGCCACGAGAACCCGTTCGGGGGGCGGGGACGATAAGCAGCTACTGCAGCTCATGGACACCTGCAACTAACTTTAAACATATGATGCGTTATTGCTCCGGAGGACTTAGGTAAAATGTCTCATTACTTGTAGGTAATTGTAATGGTTCTTAAAACCGAAACAAAGCAGTAAGTACTGTTGCAAGTGGCGACAGAAATAGATAAGACGTTAGGAGATGCTAGAATCCGATGTATACAGGATGTTTTTGGGGGGTTTTGAAGCCTATGTTCAGTAGTATAAAGAGCTGTAATGTTGGTTAAAATATCGTATAGAAGTCTAAGGCATTGCTGTAATTTACAGTACACCTAATATCCTTCAACATGTGAAACTATATGGAGTAGTGGTTCATTCATTCATTACAACCTACTAAATTCATCATAAGGGGCAGATTTGCCATTATTGCCAACCTCGGCAGGCGGTTTCGTATAGGAACAATGAAACAATTTTGTTTTAATTAATCCAGTCTTTAATATTATTATGCAATAATAAATTGAAATTAATGTCAGTAACTATAATTTTTAGAATATTGAATTTAAAATTTTACATCGAGTTCACAAATAAATGGCAAAGTACTATTGCAGTCATGTGTGGAATATTTAGCAATTCGGTCATAACTATTGTAACCGTTACCACGTACCACCGTCACTACACCGCAGTATTCTTCATTTCTTGGGAAAATGTCAATTTTTTCACCTTGAACAATTGTGATCATTATCATTCAATTATATAAGGTACATCATTCGTGTTAGATACATCGACATAAATACTCGGCCTTAAAAATTTTCTTAAAAGGCGATTAACCTGAGTTCGATTCCCAGCGCAGCACTAATAAGTCGTTATTTGTTATATTCAGTGTTGATTTATCGATACATATTTTGATAAATTTAAGGAAAAAATGACAGGTGACGCACAAAGTTTATAAGTTGGTGGTAAAACTCCTTTTCTGCATATAAAACAGCAATACTTGCACTTTGTTACGTTTTGAAGGATAAAGAGCCTGTATAATTGGCTGTGAGGCATTCCACCTTAGTCCACAGAAGTGAACGTGTGTACTATAGCTTTGTTTATATTTTGAAGTCAGCTGCCGGTGTACAGCGAGTACAGTAACCACTTATAATTAAGTGGACTGCAAGTTTGTTTGTCATTTATTTTCATAAAAAAGTGACAAATCTACTAACACGTATTGTGGCTACGAGGTGGTCTCTTCCCTGCCCCAAAACTTTTGAACCTAATGCTATTGTGTTATGGTATATAATACTATTGATAGATGATGTGAGTGTTGAACTTATAATGGCGGTGTATGACTATCCATTACCCCATTTTGCCTCATGGGTGTCATAAAAGGTAACACAGGGAAACGAACCAGCAGATGGGCAGTGGTGTCTTTCTAATAACAACCAAAAAAGCTGCGGTTGGTAATTTATATGGGTTCAGCAGGGGACTTTTGATAGGCCGTAGTGATTACGGTATCTAACCCCGGTAGCTCGCGTTTTAGGGCGAACGTTTACCCTGTGATCTCCCTGAGCTGAAGTGATTTCATAGCATTTAATTATTTTTATGTGAGCACGGAGCACAGTTCACCTGAAGGAATATAGATCCAGTGGGCCATAGATACCGACATATTTCATAAACAAGCACAATGCAGATGCATTATCACCTCTTAGGACTAGGATGGAATGCCTCATTACCACAAATCATTGTCATAGCAGGCTATCAGTCCACTGCTAAACATAGGCCTCCTCGCTGATATGGGAGATATTTGCCGTAGTTGCTACATAGTTTTTAAATACTTTAAATTGACAGGATATATCCTGCTGCCACCCCTTGTCTCAATTGCCATCTGTTGCCTCTTATGACACTCCCACAACATATTATGAAGTAGTGGATTCTCTTACGCTACCACTGCACAGCAATATGAATATAAAATTGATATTTGGTAATTATTTGATAAACTTTATTATAGAACCGATAGGGAAGAAAGTTTTTCCAATGGCACCATCGTAACTGTAAGCGAAGTATAGGGTAGCCCCACACTAGTGTGTGAAGATCTGGTAAAATTTGCAGGAAAACGACAGATTCAGGTGGCACAGAACCGTGCTTTGTGGCATTCCTCGAAGGAGGCCTATGCTAGCTATGTCGGTTTCTTTGGTTCCAGTGCAGATATATTCACAGCAGAAAGAACCAACTACCACAAGAAAAAAAAGAGTTGAAGTATTAAGATTATTACCTCGAACAGAATAAAAATCTGAAAATGGCATGATCTTTCTAAATCCCATGAAGTATCGTTGGTCTTTTGTTATCATGTTCAATAAATCATTTAATTCCGAGATATGTATGTCAGTTGACAATATGCCACCTTCCATGTAACATGTGTGCATGGCGTCTTCCCAAGTTGTTTGCCTTTTGTGCACTTTGTAACATTTTTTCGTAGCTTTTGAATATATATACCCTAGAAAAAAACTTACTGTTTTTATTCTGAAAAGATACCTAGTAATTTAGATTTAAGTGGACTTTATGTTTTTAGCACCTTCTACAATATTTCTTCACAGATAGTTTTGTTGCAGATGATCTAAAAAGCGTTGCCTGTGCCCCTTGCAAGTCAATTTTAATTAAGGTATATAGGTAGTACATAGTAAAATTTAAATAAATAAATAGATAAATAAATATATAAAATAATAGTTATAAAAATTTATTTAATAATTATAAAAATCCAATTAAAAACATGTTTTTCTTTTGAAGAGGTATTAATTTAAAATTATGTGGACTTTATGTATTTAACACCAACACCATTGTTACAACATTCCGTTTTGGTTTCGTTTTATTGCAGATAATCTAAAAGGCATTACTTGTGCCCTTTGCAAACAATTTTAATTAAGGTTTACCATGTAATATCTACATGGTAAAATGTAAATAAATTAATATTGAAAATAATAATGTCCCCGAGATCGTGTTTCGGTCACGGCGGCCAGACTCAACAAGACTAGCAAACTGCCCAGGACAGGATTATAATGCCCAAATGTATGTGCAAGCAGAGGTGCCCTCTCTATTCCCGTACTCTCATAGTCCGATGGGACGGTAAATCAACACGAGAGAAGAGAGATCAGGCGTAGGACTATGCACAGGTTTGAAACACCGCTAACTTCATGACTCCGGGTTACTATTAAGAAGTTTTTGACAGAAAAACTCAATATCTGATTAATTAGATACATATTATTTATATTATATAAAAATAATGTGATCATCATTCTCAGCCTGCGGCAGTGCACTGATAGACATTCTTCCAAGGTACTTAGCTCAAATTTCGCCCTTACTCATCCAATTACTGCCAGCTGCCTAGCGCAGATGGAATTAATTATTATATTATTTTATTTAAAAGTCAATCTTCATTTTCTAAATAAATGCAATGGCTACAGACTTTCTCGCTGGGTTTTTTCAAATTGATGTTAGATTTTGACGTTTATAATCGTAAACACTTTAAATAAGCCTACAGGCTCTTTCGTCGAGAGTTAATAAAAAGGGGTTCCCGAACTCGTTACAAATTGCGACCCGCTAATTATTTTTGCTGATAGATAATAAAAAAGCCACCGCATCAGCTCGCCCGGCCAACCTCGCGCCTGGTCAACAGCGGCCGTCACAAAGATTGCGAACGGCTATGGCGAGACGTTTTCCTAATATTTAAACATGGTAGAAGCCATGCTGCAGCTATATTAATCGTATAGTTGTAGCACGAATGGGTCGGCTCGACCGGAGAAGGACAAGCTATCACAGAATACCAACGCAAAATAGCAGCTTAATGCTGTGTTTCGTATGGTGAGTGTAGAGAACCCGAGGCCCTTTTCACTGGAAACGAGGCATTCCATCTTAGTTCTCACGTTTAATAACGCATCTGCATTTTGATCGCATACGACGATAGATGTAGATGTCTATGAGCCACAGCAAACGCATACCTCAGGTGGACTGTTTGCTCGCTTGTCACCCTTATTCTATAAATTCTTTTTTATCAACTCTCGCCGAACAGACCAATCTTAAATGAGAATATATCTGGCTATGATAAAAAATAATATATATAAAACTAACCTGAATCAACAGTAGGACAATATTCATTATCTTTTTTTTTTACAAATAAACGGTCTTCTGTTTTTACACGAACCGATGCTGTACCTGCCTGTGTTAACCGACATGACTACGCATTTGGGTTCAGAGTCATCTTGATTATTAACGTGTAATTCAGAAAATTCTAAAAGAAAATGTCCTGAAAAAAATAAAAAACATATAATACAAAACCCAATGTTTTTTGTTAAAAGTCACATTAATTTGTAATTTAATGCTATTTGTAATAACACTTCATTAGAACTCAAATAAATATTACACTTTTTCCGATTGAGCCCTAGCTCATGAACTAGGAATCCTGTATGTCATGAGCTAGTCCCTTCCATATATTATGCACAAACAATATTAACATTAATTATATATTTCAATTCAATTTAATTATACTTAATTATTTGTATATATTAATCCAACCAGTGAGACTTTTTTTTAAAGAATACTGGTAACTGTTAACATTACTAATGTCATGTTAACCACCCCAAGTAATATTAAAATGTTTGTGTTAGGATTGGTTCACGAGAATCATTAGTATATCGTAATTATTTACCTATCTTTTTCAATTCCCAAGGTTTCCTATATTTGTTTTAACTGCCAGAAATAGTTTCAATGCATTATACTACGTTTATAACTATAGTAGCGTAATGGTTGGAGACCACGAATTTTAAATTCGTGATTACAAATCCCCTTTAGACTAATGTCGTTAATACTGTGGCGGGAAACTGCTATTAGTGTGGTTAATATCATTGTTATTACTTCAAATAATCTATTATCTATTAATTCAACAACGTACATAATTTATTAATTTGTACTTTAAGATGAGGACTTCCCACGTACAGCGCTCTCTTCTTCTATGTCCAGCACGGACTAAGCGTGTTACATTCGGAACAAAAATTACTTTATGTAAAACATTATTATGCTTATTATCAGGCTGTTCCTTATTATATTCGATGCCAATATCACAAATCATTCTATTATACTTACCGTCAAAAGAGAGCAAATCTCCTCGTCCTAATTCATCATGAACACCAACAAAGATTCCTTCTACGTCGGGCGAATCGGTTAAGTTTCTCGCAATTTGCCATTCATCGACATCTTCGGGATAAAACAAGCTGGCTCCTTCATCGTCGCAGGCTAAAAATGCTTCGTCCCACGTACCCGCGTCATCGGCCCAGTGCAATTTGTAAAATGCGTTGTATTCTTCTAAGAAAGTGTAGTCACGTCGAAAGAAATTCACGTTATGCGAGGCACTCACAACGGTAATACCTGTAAATAATTAGTGTTTATGATTAAAAATATGTCAGTGGTGTGATTTTAAATCGCTCCACTCATATTGGTAATGTAAATTTTTTTTTACATTACCAATATGAGTAATGGTAAAGTAAAAACTTACTTTCAATAAGAATTACACATGTAATGTATATTGAATAAAAATTATTATTTTCTATTCGTTTACGCCAGGCGTAAAATACCCAGTTCGGCTACGGGCAGCAGCGTCAAAGACTTGTACTGCGATGGTTAATCTTTTAAGGGCTAAACTTTTACGGGCTGATGATTTCGAAGAAGAAGATATAAATAATGAAATTTATGTAAAAAGTAATTTCTGTTATATAAATATTTTCAAATGATGTGATGTGACTCTTGCAGTGGCTTACCGAGGAAATAGATGAACAGTTGATGAAACATCTTGGTGCGAAATGCGAAGACTGCGAAACGTGAAGCAGAATCGCTGCTTAAATATAACTTTGTTATCTAACCATAAAGGGGAATAACCCGCCAATACAGGATGTGTACTTTTTTAATTAAAAAAAAACTACTAATATCGACATATTATGGTGATTTATCAATTGAAAAAGATAAAACCTAAATACCACAGGCTCGTGATGGTCAACTGCTCGGTGTAGAAACAGCAAAAAAAATGAATTTGCAAATAAAAATGAAGCAATAAATTAAAAATGATAAAATATAAATCGTTACAAAATGTTAACTGCCACTGAAATTGACATTTTGTAACAATTTATATTTTACAAATTTTATTTTTTCGGTTCGCTAAATATTAAACATTTAAGTTATTAATCTAATATGCACCAAGTGACTTTAGAATGAAAACTCTAACACTACATTCCGTATTTATAAAAATGTCCTCCAGACCGAATTTCGGTCACAGTGATTATGTAAACTGACATTAGCCATCTGCACAGGGCAGGATTAGAGTGCACGTGTGTGTTCGCAAACACAGGTGAGATACATAAAAAGAGAGAAAAAATGATGACATGGAACTAAAACTTAATTGTAAAGAAGTACCATTCTCCACTGAATTTAAGTACTTGGGCGTAACAATCGACCAAAAACTAACGTGGAACACTCAAATTAGCAATGTATATCATAAGGCTAAAATTGCTTTAGGTACGTGCCAGTATGATCCCATGGCTATACAGCAGTATAGTAAGGCCGATTCTTACCTACGCTTCCACTGCCTGGTGTAATAAGGTCAACCAAAAGACGACTGCGGACAGACTAAATAGTCTACAAAGGACTGCCTGCTTAATTACAACTGGAGCTATGCGATCTTCGTCTGGAGCGGCTCTTAATGGACATCTTGGCCTAACGCCCCTTGATCTTTACTTAGACAAGGAGGCATCTAGTCTTTATAGATTTAACCCTCAGAGCGGTATGAGCTTGCTTTCCTATAGATTGAGATCTATGCTCGACTCAATCAAGGAAACACTGGTCTTATGCATGATCTCAGATAATATCATTCGTCCACTATATACTTTTAACAAAAGTATACAGTGGAACTAACCTCAATGCCCTTGGTAAAAATTACTTCGCGTACATCCGCTCGATAAAATAAAATGATGTGTCTTACCTAGTCTGAAGAGCACCTCCCGCCCTCCCTCAATTGCGTGTACTATCCCCGTCACCACTAATCCCAGCAACAATACTCCCAACACCACTACACTAGGAGAGACACACAACCGACGACAATACGTGTTTCGCCTCTACATGAGGCATCTTCAGGTGATGTAGACTCTCTCAGCCACCGCAGAGTAATCTCTTCAAACTAGGTAAGACACATCATTTTATTGTATCGAGCGGATGTACGCGATGTAGTTTTTACCAGCTTTAATACTATGGAATCCAAAAATAACCCATGGAAACGAGTGGATCACTACCATGCTATGTCTATTATAGTTTTTAATTGTATAAATCAATTGTAAAATGTATTATATATATGCTTATAAATAAAATATGTTTCTTGCTAGTTCTTCTGAGGAAAGTTCTTCTAGGACAGAGACTTTTCAATCCAATGATGAAGTATTTTGTAATTATTTATACTGAATGAATATTTATTCTATTCTATTCTATTAATATTGTAATTAAATTTTTTTCCGTAATTGGGTACACTGTAGAATCAATAAATATTTTACTTTGTAAATTATATTTATTTAGTTGTTTGTAATATTTAACACATCCTGTATTATTATACTCAATGTGATAACACTTCATATTTTATGTAACTATTAATTTCATTTTTATATGTAGGGTGAATATAACGTCATAACATATTCTGAGGATAAATTAAAAAATTCTAACAATGCACAGCTTTACTTCCTAGCATTTGCAATTAAATTTTTTTCATTTTTCTATATTCTATTCTGGGTATTTGAAGACATGTGATGTCCGCCGACTTGCATGGAGTCAGCACAGTGGACTCGTTTCTGCTCTATATACCTGGGATGTGATGAGACATAAGCACAGCTGTGGGACTACGATGAAATGAAAAATATAGGCATAAATACATTGCGCACCAAAATAGGTACACCTTATCTTTTATTCGTTACCTTTACCATTTCAGCTTTTAAAAAATCCACCGCTAAACATAGGTCTTCCCGATAGAGGGGTTATTTGCTATAGTTTTCACGCTTGGGTAGGCTTTGGCAAAATCAGTTTTTTATTAAGTTGTTACTAAGAAGACACTGCTGCCTATCTCCTGGTTTATATCCCTCTGTAACTTTTTACAACACACAGGGAACGATATGTCTTAATGAATGTTCTCACGACGCCACTACATGGTTAAATAAAAATTATTCGACAACAATATTATGTTGTACAAATGCCTTTGAAAATTGGTGACTTTGATGATTTTCTGAGGGATAGATCCTGACTAAATTTATATGGAGCCACCCCTTAGTTACCTTTCTCCAGAAAAAAAAAAAAGAACCACCGAAACCGGACAATATTGTAAAGAAATATCGCTCAAAATACTTTTAAAAAAATCCGACAAATTGCGTGTAGTCAATTAAGTCTATCATATATATCAGCTACCGAAGCTGATAGCTGATAGCTGATTGCTTCGGTGGTTTGGGCACGTTGAGCGAATGAGTGAAGACCGAATGGTGAAGAAAATATATAGCGCGAAAGTTAATATTAAAAGGTGTCGAGGTAGACCGAGACTAACTTTCGAAGACCATGTGAGCAAATTGCTCGAAGAGGGTAGGGTCAAGAGTACTCGGATACCTAGACGTGCATGTATGAAGAAGATAATGAATCTGAAAGAAGCGAAAGAGATATGTAAGGATCGTGACACTTGGCGATCTGTTCTCTCTGGCTACCCCGTCAGGGATTATGCGTGAAGATAAGTAAGTAAGTAATATATATCAGCTCATAGGAAGATTTTTCATAAACTCTTGCAAAACGCATGAGCGATTGCAGCACAAGAAGTCTCGCACGTGTGACGCTACCTTTGTCATTGGTTTGGGTTTTTACATTTTCTAATGTATATTTAATAGAAATAAGATTTTACATATTTGAGATGATGTCCTGCCATTTGATGCGAGGCTAAAAGATATTTTTACCCTTCCTGCCATGTGACACCCACATGATGAAGTGGACTACCACATGGACATGTTTGCTTGGTAGTTTTTCGGAATGCTTTGTCTCATTTTAGGCATTAGCATCTAATTTAAAAAAAAAACTTTTCATTTACTTTTTAAATATTTATTTCGTTTAAGGTATCGCAAGAGGTCGACATTGAGCAATGGCTGGAACGGAAAAATTATATGCTATAATGACTTCAGATACATGTTGATATAATGTCACTGTCCCATTGGTTTAGTAGTCGTAGACGCGGTTACATATCATGAGGTCCAAAATCAGTGTTGGGAATTTTCTGTCTAGAAATTCTCATAGCAGCCTAGATCAAGGAATTTGGCGGTGTTAAACTCTCTCTATTCGAGTCGCATAACATTGTTTCAGTGAGGGAAGTATGAAGCGTGTGGAAAGTGCACATGTGCTTGCGCTTACACTCTATCCTGTAATCCTGTCGTACGCAGAGTTTCTGTTGAGACTGGCCGAAATTCAGTTTTCGAGGACATTATTATTTAGAAGCAATGTGAGCATTGTCAAAAGTGTAAGATGTCTAGTTCAAGCCAACGAAATCCGTCTAAGTATGCTGCAGGTGCCCATGGACTGCAGTAGCCAATTACCATCTGTAATTTAGTTTGTCTCTTAATTAAATAAGACACATGAATTCTACTAACACGCATTATAGCACCTTAACCATGTCCACAATTTCAATTCAAACGCGTATTCACATTACGTAAAATTTACAGCGTAAGTATTATTATGTGCGTTTATAGCAATGTGTTTAATTACCTATGTGGCGTACAATATGTGTTTAAAATTGTGATGATGGGTCAAAATCTCATACTCGTACATTTAAAGACTAAATGTTAAATAATAAGTAGGTACTAGCTTTAGCCCGCGTGGAGTTCGGAATATAACATAATTATAGTAAATGTAAAATACCTTTAGGATTACAATAGTTCTCGCGAAAATTATATCATTTCGAAAAATCAAAGTACATATAGGTAATATAAATAAAGGATGATCCTTTATTTATATTACCTATACACCTAAATTAACCGCCAAGGCGTGCTGTTTTTGAGCGGCCTCGAAAAAACTACATCATTTTACCATGCAAATATTACGTTCGACTAAGAACGTGCCCAAATGAATATCCAAGTCTGACTCTACACGCTTGACAACCGCAGTTTTTTAATTGTTTTGAGTTGCTGCCCAAAAGCTGATCCATTTCCCTCTGTCTAATGCCAGAGTGCGGACTGCGAACTCAAAATGTCGAGGGTTTCACTATTGTCGTGAACCACTTCTAACCTACCTTAACCAGTGGCGTAGCTATGCAACCAAGGCCCCGGGGCAAAAATGAAATTGGGAGCTTATTAGAACTAAACTAAATACTCGTATAACTCCGTCCACTAGCATAAGCACTGGCATTGCGGGGCATAATAAAACAAAGCTATTATTTAGTATGTATAACGCAGCAGATAATATTTAATCGTACTTTCTATTTATAAACGAGGATATCCAGAGTAACTGACAACGCACAGCCCAAACCGCTACATGTAGGAATCTGAAAATTTGACAATAGCTGCCTTTTTAACGAAGGCTTCCACTAAGAAAGGATTCAAAAAAAATTCAACCTCTAAAGGGATGAAATAGGGTGTTACAGTTTGTATGAATCTTTTTAATTTACGGGGCGATTAACTGGAAACTTACTGAAGGTATTCTGTATATTACGAGTACGCGGTAGAGATACGCTGCAGCAATATTATAGTTGTAGCACGAATGGATCGGCTTGATCGGGGCAGGAACACGCTCTCACA